AGAGGTTCTCGACGTTTCAAGTATAGTCTACGGTAGAGGTGGTTGATACATCTCGACGTTTCAAGTATAGTCTATGGTAGGGGTGGTTGATACATCTCGACGTTTCAAGTATAGTCTACGGTAGAGGTGGTTGATACATCTCGACGTTTCAAGTACAGTCTACGGTAGAGGTGGTTGATACATCTCGACGTTTCAAGTATAGTCTATGGTAGAGGTGGTTGATATATCTCGACGTTTCAAGTACAGTCTATGGTAGAGGTGGTTGATACATCTAGACGTTTCAAGTATAGTCTATGGTAGAGGTGGTTGATATATCTCGACGTTTCAAGTATAGTCTATGGTAGAGGTGGTTGATACATCTCGGCGTTTCAAGTATCTTACGTTTCCTGTCTTCAGGTATGGGCCTGTAGTAAGAAGGAACATGATTATTGTGAATATAAAGTTGGACAAAACTGTCTAAATATTTTTTATGAGTTATCTCGCAAGCGCAACTCACGATAACTACTTTAAAACAATACAAGTTATTTTTAAACTTCCCTTTAGCATCCATCCTTTACACTAGCAATTAATCATTTAAGGTATTATTTCTAAAACATATATACATGTCTTATAACAATTATATACCAACCATTTACAATAAATACTCGTTTGTAGTTGTTATTAAAAACAAACTTATATCTTTAGTATCTTAGAATGGCAAAGACACAGAATTTGTGTGAAAATAAATAACCATTGAACTTTTGTAACCAACAAAAGTGTATATCTCAGTCATTTATAGGGAGATATTACGTGTACATTCTGTTTTGGAGGTTTTGTTGGGTTTTTCCCAGTGAAAATACATAGGGTAAATATTATAATGGTTTGAGTTCTTTAAATAGTAGTATTCATAATAGTAATGAGTTTATTCAAAAGCCATGAATACCCTAAAATAAATAGCATTTACACCGTATTCATAATAGTAATGGGTTTATTCAAAAGCCATGAATACCCTAATATAAATAGCATTTACACCATATTCATAATAGTAATGGGTTTATTCAAAAGCCATGAATACCCTAAAATAAATAGTATTTACACCGTATTCATAATAGTAATGGGTTTATTCAAAAGTCATGAATACCCTAAAATAAATAGCATTTACACTGTATTCATAATAGTAATGGGTTTATTCAAAAGTCATGAATACCCTAAAATAAATAGCATTTACACCGTATTCATAATAGTAATGGGTTTATTCAAAAGCCATGAATACCTTAAATCTATTGATATTAAAGTCTGAAATTCACTGCAAACTGTAAAAATTCTTCCGCCTATAATCTTCCAAATCCTTATTAAGTTAATAATTGTTTTGAAAATTCCCATTGTTTGTGCATAATTAATGTCAATCCAAAGCTAAACAATTTTTGAAATTTAAAACATAAAATATACTGTATAAGAGGTCTTCATGTGTCTTCTAAGGGAAATTGTCTTTCTGAATCAAATCGTTTGACCATGTCCGAAACTGACTGCTAAAAGTTTAATCTGGGGCAGGCATCAAAGAGTCCAGTTAAAGTGGGTCATTTCCTCTGAGAAAGTACTCCCCATAAACAGATTATTAGGTCAAACATCCATATAACATGGGCACTGACTCCTTGGGGAATTTCTGGAATTTAGAATGCTTAACAAGGCCGCCTGCCCTTGTCTGTTTGAGTATTCTCTCACATCATTACTATATTCGTGTACCTTTGTCACAGATTTAAAAGCTAGGCCTAATTTAGTAATACATATATGTGTATGTGTGTTTGTATATATAAATGTATAATTATTTGCTTAAAGCTTTTGTTTTGAAGCATTGTGTTTAAACAGGAAAACTCCTTACAGGATTTTCTTGATAATATTTTCTTTAACGAAAATTTTGCAGTGGTATGTGTAAACACCTAAATAGTTTTTATAACGTAAACAAAAGATTAACAATAAAATTTACCTCTTCGCATAATTGTATATTAATTTGATTGTTATTAAACGCAAAGCTGAACAATAGGCTATCTGTGCCCTGTCCACCACGGGTATCGAAACCCGATATTTAGTGTTACGTTACTGTGGGGCATGATCATGTAAGTTTTCTGTGTTCAAGAATTTGTCTTCCCTCAAGGACTCAGCGGTAAACGTCGGGTTTTATAACTCTAAAATTCGGGGTTTGATCTCAGTGTTGGACACAGCACAAATAGCTCATTGTGTAACCGTGCGCTTTAAAAAATAGGAACAACCGAGAACGTTTCTGTAATGAAACATAATTTCAAAATTTCGTGTAATTCACATAAGTGGTTTTTATTTCTTATTTCTAAATAATACTAAATTGCAAAAGAACTTAAGATTAAACGTATCCTTTATTTTTGTATGATATGGTAAACATATTTTTCTATAGACCTTGCACAGACTGATTTATTTTAGTTTTTTAATGGGCAGAGTACATGTGACATTTTTTTAAATATTCAGAACAGAGAAGCAACGGCCAAGAAAAAAGAAGATAATGAAAACAAAAGCTGGTTAAAAATTCATCATTCTGAAACATAAGATTGTGATTACTTAAAAATAGATAGGTTTTAAAACGACCTTTATCTTGGTCACCTTTAGATTAGTCGTAATTCTGATATAAAAACAAGTTGTGCTTATTTTCGATCGTCTTCCCTTGTATTCCACTGGTGAACATTTCAGTTGACAAGCTTTCTCACGAAATTAGCAACAAATTATGAAATAAGGCAAAGGTTCAGTGTTCCTTCAAGCTCATGATTTCATATACCTTGCTATCACATCGTTAAAAAGGTTTTTGTTTTTAAGGGGAGAGGGGGGGGGTATGTTGTAAAAATAACGAGAAAGCAGTGGTGTGTCTATGTTCCATCGTTCGAGGAAGCCAAGCGAGTTTTACTAGTTTTGTAGACCTGGAATTGACCTGTGAAGGGATGACCTGCCGTTTTTGACCTATAATATCTCTTGCTTCTGGCGTTTTCTACTGTCACTTTCTTATCCTGAAACATCCACTACCTTAAACCGGTAAGGTCCCCTGGCGGCAGAGGGAGGAAAGTAGGTCACATAGATGAGATGTAAGAAGCCAAATTTGCTACAGGGAATCTCATGATTTCTTAAGGACGTGGTTCATAGCAGCAAAACACTGACTTCGAAAACGAGACCACGTAAGACAAGTGCCTACACATCATAGCCTTCAACACAATCGTCGGGTAGCCATCAACAACACAATAATGTTTTTGCGTCTTCTGGTGATTATTTTTTTCAACTCAGGTAAGGGGGAAATAATTTATTCTTTCTTGTTTGTTCTAGAATAGTTTTGTTTTAGTTGAAGAAGTTTGGCTGACAATATTCGTCGTCACATACGAACTTTATTAACATTGTGGTTTTCTGTTTTGTTTCCAGGGGTAAAATGTAGCAAAATAATTTCTTGACTCCATGTTTTTTATTAGAAATAAAAGCTAATATAACATTTACTTATCTTCCTTTATTAGTAAAAATCATATTTCATATTTTTCTTCTGTATGAGGATGGGGACTTCAGAATTTCTAACTATTACATTTAATTTTCTCAGGTACAATTTTACAAAAACGAAAACAAAGTGTTACGTCTCAACCTTTCTATAAGTTAATTTGTCGCTCTTAAAAAACACGCAGGATGAATCTCATTTCAAAAATCCTGAGAAAATATTTTATCGTTAATTTTATTTTTTATAATGTTTAAAACAAATCTGAATATTGTTCTTTATATTAATTCTTACACTTATTTTATATTGTTGGTTTATTATATGACTTAGTAGTCTTAAATCACTTACGTTTTATTAGGATTACGGCCAAAAATGCATTCCTATCATTATAGATTTTAGTTTTTCTTGTATGCTGATTTATGAGATTATTTACATCTAATCAAGTTTCTATACAGGGATGGTTTCATTAATTTATAAGCCACTTTGTTTTGTGTAATTTATGGATAATTTCTTCTTCAGTAAGATGTATTACAACTTTAATGATTTATTGTGTCTGCTTAGTTTTTTAACACATAGACCTCTCTATTTGTGATATCTGTAATCTTACAGAATGGATAAAAAAATTAAATTTTTCGCTTTATGTTCGATAATTTGATAAAAACAATTCCGTCTCATACCTTATCTACTTCGAGAACGCTTAGCGTTCGTTACACCTTTTAAGTTTTCGGAGTGCACAGGAATTCTTCATTTTTAATAGGTTGTGACCATTTGTCCAGCTAGCCAGAAGTATAATCAGTAGGCTACTTGTCCGGCTGGTCAGGTGAATAGTCTATTCAAAAATATAAAAGAAAAATAAAACTGGATGTTTTTAACACTACTGATCAGAAAGATTCATTTTAAATGTCCATTTAGTACCAGCCTGTTCTATCATTCTCTTCGAGAATTTATATATAAATAGCATAAAAAAATTGATGACAAGTATATTTTGTTTGTTTGTTTTGAAATGCGCGCAAAGCTACACGAAAGCTATCTGCGCTAACCGTCCCTAATTTAGCACTGAAAGACTAGAGGGAAAGCAGCTAATCATCACCACCCACTTCCAACTCTTGGGATACTCTTTTACCAACGAATAGTGGGATTGACCGTCACATTATAGCGCCCCCAAGGTTGAAAGGGCGAGAGGTTTGGTGGAACGGGGACCCTCAGATTGTGAGACAAGCGCTCTAACCACCTGGCCATGCCAGACCCTGACAACTATAAATACAATTTGCACTCGTATATTAGGCTTACAGTAATATAGAAAGGTCCACCTTTCGATAGCACTCGGGTTATAAGGGTTTTTATTCATTCCAGTAATATAGGTGATATTTGTCTAACTATATTTTTGGTCAAACTCAATTTCTGTCAAATAATTGTAGTTTTTTTTCAATAACTAATGAGTTGTAGGCTTGTTTGTGTTGTTTGAGTAATAATAAATTTACATACGAATAAACAAGCTATTCTACCATCTCAATAGTTTGCCTTTGCACAACTGCGGGCTTACCATACTCATTAACCCTAAATATCATCACCTTATGTCTTTTCATACAAGAATATTCCTGCAGTTTTAAAACAGATATAAAGCTACACAAAGGGCTATCTGCGCAAATCTGCCCCAAGTTGTGAACTGATAAAGGGAAGGCAGCTAGTCAATAACACCCACTACCAGTTATTGGTTTACTCTTGCCTGATAGAACAGTGTGCTTTAACCGCCACTGTTATACTACACCCATAGCCAAAAGTGCAGAGAGCGTTTTTGCGGCAGTGGGTTGCGAACAGTGAGCCCTCAGATTCATAGTCCTAGACCGTTAACCATTAGGCCATGCCATGCTCGAATTACAAAACATTGTAATCGCACGTTGCACAATGCTCAGACTACACGATTCCTTCAGTAAATGTTTGACATGGCCAGGTGGTTAAGGCGCTCGACTCGCAATCTGCAGATCGTGGGTTCGAATCTCCGTTCCACCAAACTTGCTCGCCCTTTCAACCGTAGGGGTGTTATCATGTGACGATCAATCCCCCTATTCGTTGGTAGCTCTCCTGTAGCTTTACGCGAATTTCAAAATAAACCAAACCTCCAGTATGTGCATAGAAAATGACACAACAGAAGCATATCTGGTCAGGTAATGAATATATTCTGAAATGTTTATTATTAACTGTAGATGTAGTACTCAGGTTCATTTCACCACGGTAGTGAGAAATATCGATTTAGCAAATATGTAAATTTTTTAAATCAAGATTGGTTACTTTTGATCCAAATTCAGCTTGAATGAATATTTTACTTATACTGAGACAAGTCGCACTTTTTTTAAGAACGATGTTGCTGGTGCCATGCTATTTTTGTAACTACTTTCTCCGTCGTCGATCATGGTGGACCTGGTGAACATGATTACATACTATTATTCGACACAACCAGCATCTATATTGTAACAAGATTGCTCGGAGGACGATAAGTTGGTGTTAGATCCCACATCTTCACAAACTTTCTACAGACTCACCACTATACGTAGTCGTCAGCTTCCAAAACCATGGAGGGGGGGGGGAGCTTAACAAATATGTTTTCTCCCTAAAACATTGATTTCGAGGTACGCCTGAAAGTTTGTGGTCTTTTAATGAACTTTCGTCAGCTTCAAATCCGTGTTATCTTATTAAGGGCACCAGAAGGTAAGCCCAATTTCAGCGCAATAGCCTTTTGGGCCTGAGGTTTTCTTTTGTAACCACTGCCTTTTTTATTTTATTTTTTTGCAAATGAGGCCATTATTCCAGATTATCTTGAGATGTAGTTTTGAAGGCCATTACTGTCTTAAAACTTTGCTCTACGAGATTTCTTCTACCATGGAGGACAATTCTTTGAAATGCTATCCTTTGGCTCGATACCATTCTTGTTATATTAATACATTTCGTTGGAAGGGCTGTGACAAATTTCTCTATCCATAAGTCTATCAGTAGCGGTATAGCACTGTCGAATGATCTGTAATTGGCAGTGAGCCAAATATTCAAATATTGAACATTTTACGCGTGGCACCACAGCTGTCACCTACGACGACACGCCATACATTAGCATATAAAAAATCGTTCGTATAAAATACGAGTAACTTTTCTAAACTCCAAGACATTCCAAGAGAATAATTTGTTCTATACAGAAATCAAAAATTGCACAACTTCATTAAACAAGTTTTACACAGAAATCAAAAATTGCACAACTTCGTTAAACAAGTTTTATACAGAAATCAAAAATTGCACAACTTCATTAAACAAGTTTATACCGAAATCAAAAATTGCACAACTTCATTAAACAAGTTTATACCGAAATCAAAAATTGCACAACTTCATTAAACAAGTTTTATACCGAAATCAAAAGTTGCACAACTTCATTAAACAAGTTTTATACCGAAATCATAGATAATTGTTTTTTATCACAAAGTTACACAAAGCGTTCTATCCACCGCGGAGAATCGAACCACGGATTTTTGTAATGTAAGTCTGAAAATTTATCGCTGACCCACCGTGGGACTACAGAGGTAAGAGTAGTTATATGTGTTACCGAAAACATGACATAAATATGTGGATATATATACTTGCAACTCCCAAAGCATGCTATAGATAACACGTGTTACCGAAATTATATCATCCACACGAATGGTTGTATATGATATTGAAATTATACCATGGATATATTATCAAACTAGTAGAATATAAACACGAGTGATTACGTGTAATAAGAAATCAATATTACAGTTTACCACGTATTGGAATTAATATTTTTATTTTATATTTGCATTTATTATTATGGGATTTAATAACATATATATATATATATATATCAGTTATCTGAATTTCTCTGTCAGCTTATTTTTCAATGAGGATAAGTCGACTTTGTTCCAAGGTGTTTATTTGACTGTAATAGGAACAAGAAAATCCTGTAATAACGATGCTTGGATATTTACATAGGAAAGTGTGGCATGGTAACATTGGTGTCATTCAGTGTACGTAACCAGTGAATAATTTGTTTGAGTTATAAAAGAAGCTTGCTCAGCATGATTTCACCATATGGGTTCACCTTCACGACTTATGACTTACATACGAAATAAGCTAAACTAAGTAACGTGTTTTTGTTAAACTTGATTTTCGCAGAAGATGGATAAATTTCAAGTTATTTTTCGCTTTATGTATGAATAAATATAATTTAATTGAATTTTAATTATACATATATACCAGCGAAAATCACCGAAACTTACAGTTGCTCAGTTATTAGCTCAAAGTTGTAGTATCTATTGATCTTAAGTTATCGTACTAGCTCCCTCTAGCGGAAATTAATTTCGTATCAGCTCCTTAAAGCGGAGTCCCTGTGATGTCATCTTCATATAGCTAAAAACCTTATATGGTATCAGCTCCCTAGAGCATAAAAATCGTATGTCATATCAGTTTCCTATAGCGAAATATCATGTATAATATTCCTAGAGCAGAATATAATGTCGTACCAGTTCCACACAGCAAAATATCACATTGTATCAGCTTTCTATGAGAAACTGTTGCGTCATAACAGCTTCTTATAACGGAATCTCATGTCCTATCAACTTCCTATATTGAAATCGCATGTCGTATGAGCTCCCTATAACAAATGTCTATGTCGTATCAGTTCCGTATAGTAGAATCTTATATTATATCAGCTTTGTAAAATGGAATCTCATATTCTATCAGCTTTCCTATAGGAGGATCACATGTCGTATCAGCTCCCTATAACAAATGTCTATGTCGTATCAGT